AGAAGAAGAAGGAGATTGCTCAAATTCATTAAATTCGGACTCAGATTTATCTCATTTATTATGTTAAGTTGAGGCACCCTTGCGTTCCAAACTCAACTGGTAATCAAATAAACTTCATTTTTTCAAGAGCTTTTCATTTTTTACAATTTCCTATCTTTTAATTTTCTTTTAAGTAGTTTTAATGATATTCGAAATTTTCTGAAGATTTACAAGTATGTGCTAAGAACGATTAACAGATAGGCGTTAATAGTCAGATAGATAGAAGTAGGTAAACAACAAGATAGGACACATTAATCTTTTATTTATGACATGTTCTAAATGTTCTAAATATAGATAGAAGTAGGTAAACAACAAGATAGGACACATTAATCTTTTATTTATGACATTTTTTATTTATGGAATTGGAGTGATTTTCAATGATTTGGGGTGATGTAAAATCGATGTCAGCTTTAAATTTTTTCCCTTCCCTTTTATGATACTATTCTTTATGATCTGTATGTTTTGTGTGTTTTGTTTGTTCTTTATGTTCTACATGTGTTCTGTATGTTCTGTTTTGGTGTCGGTTCTTCATGTTCTGCATGTTCTGTATGTTATGCATGTTATTCATGGCGTATGTTCTGTATGCTCTGTATGTTCTGTATGTTTTGCATGTTCTGTATGTTTTTCATGTTCTGTATTTTCTGTATGTTCTGTATGTTCTGTATATTCTGTATGTTCGGTATGTTCTGTATGTTCTGCATGTTCTTTATGTTCTGTATGTTCTTATGTTATGCATGTTATTCATGGCGTATGTTCTGTATGTTCTGTATTTTCTCCACGTTCTGTATGTTCTAAATGTTCTAAATGTTCTGTATGATCTGTATCATCTGTATGTTTTGTATGTTTTGTATGTTTTGTATGTTTTGTATGTTTTGTATGTTTTGTATGTTTTGTATGTTTTGTATGTTTTGTATGTTTTGTATGTTCTGTATGTTCTGTATGTACTGTATGTACTGTAATGTTCTGTAATGTTCTGTAATGTTATGTATGTTCTATATGTTCTGCATGTTCCATTTGTTCTGTATGTTCCGTATGTTCTGTATGTTCCGTATGTTCTGTATGTTCAGGGTCCTGTATGTTCTGTATGTACTGAATGTTCCGTATGTTCTGTATGTTCTGTATGTTCTGTATGTTCCGTATGTTCTGTATGTTCTGTATGTTCCGTATGTTCTGTATGTTCCGTATGTTCTGTATGTTCTGTATGTTCCGTATGTTCTGTATGTTCAGGGTTTTGTATGTTCTTCATGTTCTGTATGGCGTATGTAGGCTCGGTGAAGATGTCCTGGAGACATTTTGACAGGATGTCAACTAGAAGATTAGAACAAAAAATATGAAAAGTTTAATAGATAGATAGATACTAGATAGATAGATACACGGATATAGGAATAGACGGATACACATTCAATTTTAAACATGGATATTATGATTCATGGATACATATAACATGGTACAGGGATACAAGGATTCATGGATACATGGATTCATGGATACATGGATTCATGGATACATGGATTCATGGATTCATGGATTCATATAACATGGTACAGGGATACATGGATTAATGGATACATGGATTCATGGATACATGGATTCATGGATACATGGGTTCATATAACATGGATACATGGATTCATGGCTTTTCTGATACTGGATACATGAAATTATGCACTGTAAACTCCGGTTCATATTTCAAGTACCGGGTCGACCTTTAGGCAGCTAGAGCCAGTACAGTACAGAGTACAGTACACATTATACAGATTAAATAAGACAAAACGGGATAGTACGCCAAATGAATACATAAAATAGCGCCAAAATCAATTAATATTTTGCTTGATTATTCAAAGTGTTCTTGTTTCTAATCGATGTCTCAATGACCCCCCTTCCCGTTTCCTACACTGCTGTTTAAAGAAGCCTGGACCACATGTGTAGCATCCTACTGCGTAAAGAACAACAATTCCTCTGACGCACGCTCCAACCAACTCCTACGCACGTTTTGACGCATAAACATAACGCATATACGTATTTGCCGGTTACTCCCTTGGCAAAATATTTTGCATTAAATCTTGCTACATGAGAGTCTTTAAGCTTTTTCTTTTTATTATTTTTAAATCAAATTTGATTTCATTTTCCAGGTCTACTCCAGTTTTGGGTCTTATCTATGCCATTTAAAACAAAATTTGCAATTTTAGAATATTTGAAGCTTTTACTCAATTTTAATATTAAGTTTAATTTGTTCGCAAAATAATTGTGATGGACCTGTTAGTGTAAATTCTGAAAAATATGTAGGATCAATCAAAACTAAACCACTAAATTGTATTAAAAGATTAAGTATTTTTTTGCATGACAAATGATTAAAAAAATACTAAATTGGAAAAATATCATTTTAGCAACTTTTACTGTAAGCGTTAATTCAAGTGACCTTCCATGAATGCCTGATTCATAACGGTACTCAGAAACCTTTATCTGATCAATAATGTGGAGGAAATTGTCGTTTTTCTTGGGTTAATCTTGATAATTCCTAAATATTTTCATGAAGGTGGAATGCGCAAGTAAATTTGAGAAACGACAATTAAAACAATCAGTTTTCAAAATGGTACACATTGATATCAATACATACTTAATCAGACAACGCTTTTAAGGGTACCGTTGTGAATTGGGCATTGTCATCTTTGCACGAAGGATCACTTGAAATAACGCTTACAGTCCCTTTAAATTCTAAAAACAATTGTTCAATTTCCCTAATGTTCTAACCTTGACCGGCGCGTATAAAAATAACAAGCACAGACAGACACTTCCATACAACACGCACACAAATAATACATTCATATTGTTATAAAACTTTGGTTTTTAAATATACTACATGAGAATATAATTTCTAGCCTTAGGCCTTAACTATTCATCCTACCACATAATCTATCTATCTATCTAACCACATGATCTATCTATCCATCTAAACACCTTATCAATCTATCTATCCATCTAATCTATCTATCTACCTAATCTATTTATCTATCTATCCGTCTAATCTATCTATCTATCAAACCATCTAATCTATCCATCAATCCGCCTAATCTAAACAATTAACCATATTAATCTATCTATTCATATATCTCTCTATCTATCTATCTATCTATCTAACCATATCTATTCATCTATCTATCTGTCAAACCACTTAATCTATCTTATCTATCTATCCATCTAAACACCTTATCAATCTATCTATCCATCTAATCTATCTATCCACCTAATCTATTCTATCTATCTATCCACCTAATCTATCTACCTATCAAACCATCTAATCTATCCATCAATCCGCCTAATCTAAACAATTACCCATATTAATCTATCTTTCTATCTATCTTTCTATCTAACCTCCTAATCAATCTATTTATCTAACCACATAATCTATCTATTGATAAATCTTTCTATCTATCTATCTATCTAACCATATCTATTCATTTATCTATCTTTCTAACCACTTAATCTATCTATCTATTTAACTACCAAATCTCTATCTATCTAACCATCTAATCTATTTATATTACCATATTATCTATCCATCTATTAATCTGTCTATCTATCTATCTAACCACCTAATCTATCTATCTATCTATCTATCTAACTAACCATCTAATCTATCTATCTATCTAACCATATTATCTATCTATCTAACCACCTAATCTATGTATCTATCTATCTATCTATCTATCTATCTATCTATCCAACCTGAAGCGATCATGGTTTGTTTGACCTTAATCTTGAATTATACAAACCCTCAATCATCAAATACACAGACAGATAGTTGAATAGATAAATAGATAAATAGATAAATGGATAAATAGATATGTTTTACTGTGGTGTCCCTATAAAAGTGTGGATTTATGCAGCAGAGCCATACAAAGAAAATGTCAAAATGTAACATTTTACTAGATAGAAAATCTTTCTCATTGTTGCTTGGCTAAAAGATTAAAGGATACCCTTATGGATCAAACATGCAATTCTCCAAATTTGTATCGGCCGTTTCGACGACAAACCCATTTAAGACACAGGAATTTTGTGTCAGTGAATTTTCCATATTTAAATTGGATTTTGTAAAAAATTTATGTTCTTTCTTTCAATTCTTTATTGATGTTAGTTTGTGTACATTATTAAACAGTTTTTGAATAAAATAAGTAAATATTATTGAAAATTAATCCGTGTTTAATTCAGAAATTTACACATTAAACATGTCAGTGTCAAAATATTTAGAGCTCAGCAAAAACAGATTTGATACTTATTCGCGTATTTGGAATTTTTAATACTGAAAACGTTCTTTTATGATTTTAAAGTTTCGTTTCTAAACTTTGTAATAATGATAAAAGCTACTTTTCTTTATGAATGCACTCATTTCGTTAAATAATCATACTTATAAACATTCATAACTAATTCCACCCTGATCAGACAAAGCTTTTAAAGGTACCGTTGTGAATCAGGTATTGCAATCTTNATTAATTAAAATTGATTTATTGATTGAATTCTTATTGTTCAGGTCAGCATGAAGTTATTGCTGAAAACCTTTCTACAGCTGTCGTCTCAGACCTTAACACACTCGTCAAATCTATCAGGGACGATAGACGAAAGGTAGAAGGACTATTTTTGTTTTTAAGAATAATGAAGGAAGAAAATAATAAAAATTATGATGTGGGGGGGGGTTGTATTTCTATTTACAGTATTTATTATGTTTTGTATACCCCTGAACTTGTGTTGTGTTGGTTTTCCTTCTAATTAAGATAATAACCCATCCTGAAATGAGATAATAGCATTTTTAAACAACCCTGATATTATCTTAAATTATTCCCTCATGTTTCTAGACCAACTAGTAGCGGTTTTTAGCAAACCTAGACCTGACATAGACCTGGACGTAAACCTTAAAACCTATACCTTATACCTATGTCTCTAGATAAATAAGGATAGGTTTTTCATATATGTTACGTTATAGTTCATTGATTGTATGATCGGTCGACTTAATTTCACCTCTACATTTAGACCCAAATATAGTTTGTAGTTGATAGACTCTAAATACGAATGTTTGAGTTAATCATTAATCGGTAGAGAATTAGATTGAGAGAGCTTCATAGAGTTATAGAATTCTTAAAGAGACTTTTGAAGTTTGCGAATTGAAGTGGTCACGCTTCTGCCGGGTCTGTAAAAAAAAAACATTCTTTTTAAGTAAAAAAGAAACCTTTTGGTAAAAAATGAAAGGGGTTGTTAAAAAAAGTTTGCTGAAAAAAGAAGACATTTATTATAAAATTAATAACGTTTATCAAAAAAGAAAACGTTTGTAAGAAAAAAACGTTTGATAGAAAAAAAACGTTTGATAGAAAAAAACATTTGTCAAAAATGAAAGCGACAAAATTTGAGAAAGGGGGTTGGCACCTGTTAAAGTAGTTAAAACAAGAGAAAGGAGTCATGCGACGAAGATTAATGATAAACTGAAAGTAGATAAAAGGGAAGGGGAGGGGATCTTGATAAAGAATATGAGATTTAGAGGAATAATGTGTTTAATTCAGATTATGCTTACATTGTTTTCCTGCACCAGAAATGCGCTGGTCACTTTTGTATAAAAAACACATTTGAAAATAATCAGTTTTCAAAATTATGAACATGTACATCTAATCATTAGTGTTAAGAAGNAGGGGGGGGGGGTTAAAGAACACATAATTCTGCATGTTAAGATTTTATTCAGTACTTTCTTACCGAAAGCTTTCCTGAATTTAGAGAATCGATAAAAATGTAAAAGTTAAGTTAATAGTTACTAAAAATGTGGGAATGTAGAAAAGAATAGACAAAAATGGATTTTTTTTCAATTTCAAAATTTCTAGAAAACATTCTGAACTGTTGAAAATCTATATTTTCAATAATTGGGTTTACACGAATGAATTATTATCTTTTTTTCTGATCTAGGATCGTGAACCCCTCAAGAGACTGTAAGCGTAATATAAAGTGACCTCCATGCAAATATGACAACGGTACCCTTAAAAGCTTTGTCGGATCAAGTTTGAATAAGATATCAATGTTTATCATGTTGAAAATTGATATTTTACAATTGTGGGTTCTCTTTGAAAGTAATTTGTTCATTTCTTTTACAGGAATTATTAGAATTTATCACTTTAAAACTACAAAACCGGTAATAGCGTCTACATTATTAATTGGATAATGGTTTCTAGGATACCATCGTGAATCGGACATTTCCCGCTTTTCATGAAGGTTCACTTGAAATTATACTTACAGTCCCTTTAACACACTAAATATCACCCTGTTTACTTGTTTATTGTATATTTATCAATCAATACTAATACTAAATATTCTCTGTATGTTCTAGTTTCTGAATAATGAGGGATGGGGGGAGGGGACCTGTATACTTCTAAAGTGTTTGAATTAATGTATATATGTATGAATGAAGGTTAGTTACTACATATGTTAGTATAATGTATACAATATGGTGTGTGTATACTGTATATATGTATATTGAATCCTTCATAGGATAAAGCAGAAGTAATTCAAGGCATTTATTCAATACAGATAGTCCATAGGCACAACTAGGGGGGTAGGAGACCCCCTTCTCCACCCCCCTCTTTACTATCACGTCAAGTTATAGTAAATTTCACGTTAATAATAAATTCCCTTTTTTAAGTTTTTGAGAAGAATAAAAATATTTTTGGATTTAATATGCAACTAACTAAATAGTTTTTCTTATGGTAAAAGATTAAAAATAAAAAAATTTTCTATGAAATGTGCTATCTATGAAATATACTGGTTATGAAATGTCCTCTCTATGAAATGTCGTATCTGTGAAATGTCCTGTCCATTTTATGTCCTATCTTTGAAAGCTCTATCAATGAAATGTTCTATCTATGATAATGAAATGTCCTTTCTATAGAATGTCCTATCTTTGAAATGTCTTGTTCATGAAATCTATGATTTTGTTATCAATGAAATATCCATTTATTAAATGTTCCAACACCCCTAGATTAGAGAGCTACGTTTGGCTCATGAAACTTATGAAAATTATCCAAAATGATTGAATTTTTAATATTATATATACAATTTAAATCTTAAATGGTTTAAACCTTCCATTGGTTGTAGTTCTGGTGACGTAATTTTATCAATTATATCTATTAAAAATAAAAATAAAAATTATAAAATAGTAATTTGAGAAACCCTAATTTTCTCTGGGATATCTTCGTTTCGTATAAATTTGACACAGTTTTATATCAATTTCTCGAGACAGGAACATCAGATATAACTTTCATGGGTCGCGATCAAGAGCTTAAGTGATTAGCTTTCTGCAGCCTATACCCCCTTTCATTTTTCCTTTACAGTCCCTGTAAGGATTTAAGGGTACCGTTGTAAATCGGGCATTCTTATCTGCATGGAGGGTCATTTGAAATTAATCTTACTGTCCCTTTAAGAACTAAAATAAATATTTTAAGTGTCGAAAGCTTTACATAGAAAATTAATTTGAATTTAATTTTGTCCTTGTCCTTATTTAATTTCTTGAATTATTCTATTCTTCTATTTTTCTTTACAGCTTGATAGAATTTAGAAAAATGACCGGGGTTTTATTATTTTCAAGAAAAAATTTGTTAGTATAACTTAAGTGTAAAATAGAAGTAGAATATTGTATTAGAAAATATTTACCCCTGAATTATAATGAAGCAGGGGTGTTGTTGAATTGTGGAAAATTAATTTTTGGGTAAAAAGTATCAAAAGTAATAAAAATCTTGAATTTCTAATTTTTAAATATAACGGATGATCTAACGTGGGTTTTGCAACTATGTTACATTGTACAATATGTGGTGATAACATCTTATCTTTTGACGACACACATTATATACGAGTCTTGGAAGAAATTTTCATCATTCAAGTACCATCGGAGACCTATTTCCATCCGAGACCTATTTCCATCGGAGACGTAATTCCATAGGATACCTATTTCCATCGGAGACCTATTTTAATCGGAGATCTATTTTCACAGGAGATCTTTATTCATCGGAGATCTTTTTTCACCGGAGACCTATTTTCACCTTAGATCTATTTTCACCGGAGACCTATTTCCATCGGAGACCTATTTTCACCGTAGATCTATTTTCACCGGAGACCTATTTTCACCGGAGACCTATTTTTACCGGAGATCTAATTCCATCGGAGACCTATTTTCACCGGAGATCTATTTTTATCGGAGACCTATTTCCATTGGAGACCTATTTCCATCGGAGATCTAATTTAAGCTAAGACCCCATTGGGATGTTATACAGGACTCTACGTTTTATCGGAGTCCCCTTTTTTAGAGACTTTTTAAAATCTTTATTTCCATGAAACCTTTATAAATACTTGTTGATATTTAAAAAATTAAAAAATTACATGTTTGTTTCTAAAAAAGTACGATACTTTCTTAGACAATACTTATATTTCTTTCATTCATGGTTGAATTCAGTTGTATTGACTGGTATATACTTACTTTTACCCTATTTTTTGTTAACAAGGTCGCAACAGATCTTTGAAATAAAAAATTATACTTAAACATTTTTTTCATTTAATATTGGAGGGGGGAGGTAGTAGTCTTAACTGTTAAGAGGGTATTGAAGTGAATCTCTGTAGTTGGTTCTGATTAACTGTCTTAACTGTTAAGAGGGTATTGAAGTGAATCTCTGTAGTTGGTTCTGATTAACTAGAGTTCTAGTAGTTTAACGGAGTCCTAATTTCACTAATTACTCCACGATCTAGGGGTTACGTGGGGGCACACAGGTAAATTGAACATTCTTATAGAGAAAACAAATAAAATTTTTTTTTTTCCAAATGGGCTTGTTCCCGGGAAATAAATTACCATTTTTATTTGACGAGTGCTATACATGATTATTAGCGGAATCCTTTAATTCTTATTGAAGCAATGATTGAGTCTTATTTGTCATTGTTTCTCAACTCAAAAAATGAGACTGTGAAGACGACTTAAAACTTTTCAATAACAACGTTCTCAAGTTTAGATTAAGTCTTCTGCCTTGATTATGGTTTGTAAAATGGTTTATCTCATGATTTGGCAAAGAAATGAATGCCTTTATGGTCGAAGAAAAAATTTGAGCTGCGGCTCAAATATGGTAGGTAACACTTAAAATTGTATTCAACGTTTCAAGATTCAAGCCGGCGCTCAATTGAAACCGGTTTTTGGTACGCGGCTCAAATTCATTAAATTCGGACTCAGGTCGTATTAATTCCGTACAGTCGTCTTACCCTTTGTGGGTAATCCTGTAACCCTGATACCACATCTCAGGTTTAAAGGTACTTTCGAGCATCGATAATGCCACTTTTTCAAAGAATAATACGTGAACAGAATCAATATAAAACTAAACATTGCTCCAGTTTGTCTTTCACCTTCTGGAAGCTAAAGAACTTTTTTTATAAAAATGTCATTGTTTAATTCTTTGTAATCTTTGTTTTCTTTGTTTGTTTTCCCGTCTTCTTGGTTTTCTCCTTGTTAAAGGTTTTGGTGTAGGTTTAAAGTTTAAAGGTGAACAAACATTTACAAGGATGACATGACAGATAAAAATTATAGAATTCAAGATTATCATAGATTAGGACTAGGGGCGTTTTCACGATTTGGGCGGGTACAATTTGATGTTGGGGAGAAAATGGTCTTTTTTTAACTTCTCCTCTTTTCTTTAATTCCACCTTTCATTTATAGTCTTTTCTATCTTTTCTCTTTCTTTTTATTCAATTTCTCATTTTCTTCCCTTTTCTATTGATTGTTTTTTGTTTTCTTCTTTTTCCACTTTCTTGTTAATTTTAAGTTTCTCCTTTCCTCCTTTTTCCACTTTCTTTCTTATTAATTTTAAGTTTCTCCTTTCCTCCTTTTTAAACTTTCTTTCTTATTAGTTTTTAGTTCCTCCTTTCCTCCTTTTTCCACTTTCTTTCTTATTAATCTTAAGTTTCTCCTTTCCTCCTTTTTACACTTTTTTTCTTTTTTAGCCTGTTTGAGTTTCTTTATTTCATTCCATTTTGTATCATTTATATTTACTGTTCCTTTTTTAGCTTTTTTCTTTTCTTCCTTTCTCCTCCTTATTCAATGGGCTTTCTATTTATTAATTTTTCTCTTTTTTTTCTTCTTTTTCTCGAATCAATTTTAGTTTTTTCTTTTCTTCCTTCTCATTACTTTTGTTCTCTTTTTTCGTGCTTCCATTTTATCTTACTTTTACTTCCATTTTATCCTACTATTTACTTCCATTTTATCCTACTATTTACTTCCATTTTATCCTACTATTTACATCCTTTTTATCCTACTATTTACTTCCATTTATTTCCTACTATTTACTTCCATTTATTTCCTACTATTTACTTCATTTTTATCCTACTATTTACTTCTTTTTTTATCCTACTATTTACTTCCATTGTATCCTACTATTTACTTCCTTTTTATCCTACTATTTACTTCCATTTTATCCTACTATTTACTTCCATTTATTTCCTACTATTTACTTCCATTTTATCCTACTACTTACTTTCTTTTTTTCTTATTTTTCTTTTTTCTATTTTATATTTGTTGTCTCAATATTTACAATATTTTAATAAAATTCTATCTGACAATGAAGCAATAAAAATGCAAAATTTTAAGTTTGCGGTGCATTTAACTAATTATAATATTTTTAGCATTTACAAGAGGGGGCGAGGATACAACAGCAGTTGACAGTTAGTTTATCAGCTCTGGCTAAAACCAAGGTAATTTATTCAATTTTTGCAGGGGCGTACACAGGCTGATCCGAGTGTGCCCAATTTTTTCAGAAGATGAATATGTCTTGTAATTTTTTTTATTTAACTCAAAACTGAGAAATTTGAATACCTTACTTTCGTCTGTTTGTCCATCTGTTTGTTTGTATGTCCGATCAAAACTCTTAACACCCCATTTGACCAATTTGCCTCAAATTTTGTTTGGAGAATTTGGCAGAAACAAGGAAATGTGCTTAGCTGGGTTTTTAAAATACGAAGTTCAATAGGTTGACTTTTAATGGGAAAGATTCATTTCTTGGCAAAGCTGGGTTTCCTAGTATTTGGATTTTGTTTGAATTATTAGTTTATTTTCACTCTTGCTTAAAATATCCACAATTGTTCTCAAATAAAATGTAAGTTTCAAATGATTTTAATCTGAAAATTTTAAAGACATTTCTATTCATTATATCAGAGGTTGCATAATGATAGTTTTACTAGGTATGGAAAGTTTAACTACTTATTCTGTATTTTAGGAGAAATATGAAAAAGCTTTTGGTGCCAGTGAAAGGGCCTTGGAGGCGTATAATAAGGTGAATAAATATCCAAAATTTGAGAAATGTGAGTACCATATCTGATTTTTTTTATTGAATTTCAAACTCCTGATATTGCTGAAATAATGAAACTTTTGAATTTAATATTTTGTCGCAATTAGGGTTTCCATTCGCAAAACTTTTGCGCAATTTTTGCGGAACGAATCACATAATTTTTCTTTCTTTGCGCATCAGTTTTTGCGCGAAAAAAAACAACAATTTGCGCAATCATTCGCAAAAGTCATTTCGCGCAAAATTGCCCTATTCCGCTTTTGCGAAACTCAAGTTTTGCGCAATTCCGCAACTAGAGTTTTGCGCAATTCAACAATTTCGTAAAAATCAAACGGTTGGTGACGGTGTGTGTTTCTTAGAATTCAATTCTGGAAAAATCTTGTTTTGGTATGTCTTCCTATATTTGGTCACTTTTACATAATTGACCAATGACAATTTTAGTTTTGGACATGCATATTTCCTAAAAGTGGATTCTTCAGGCATTGGTTACTTTCTTGCATTATTTTATATGAGATTAAAAAGATTTCAGAAAGGAATTGAGTCTTTGTAACAAACTCTGATTTTCCAATGCCTGTATTTTTTCTACCTGATGGTGTAAACCTTTGATATTTCAAACTTAGATTTTTTCATCTAACAGAATTCATAGTTTGAAATATCTAAGGTCTACGGCATTGGGTTAGATATAGGGATTAGAAAATCATAGTTTGTGACAAAGACTCAATTCCTTTGATTAAACAAATTTAAGAATATAATTCATACTTGATTAGGCAAAGCTTATAAGGGTCACTTGAAATTATTTAATAGGATTAAAATATTGCCAAGTTTCACACTCTCTAATTTCTATTTTATTAATTTTGGTCCCTTAATTTAAACTTTTTGTAACTGGAAGTAACCAATTGAGTGTAGTATAATCGTTATCATACTCGTATGTTAATATTTTTTTATGTATGGAATAAATCTTCAGTTGTTTAATTCTAAGCTTAGAATATCAATTTTTGGCAATTTGCCTAAAAAGTTACATTTTGCGTAAAACTTGTTGTTTTGCGCGGATTGCGCAAAACTAAAATTTGCGCGAAAATAGCGCAAATTTTGCGCAAAAGATTTAGCCATTTCGTGGAAACCCTAGTCGCAATAGTTAAATGCTGAAAAATATAAATCCATTTCAAGTAACAATGATGAAGATATCTGTGTTTCTCTTTCTGAAAGCGTGTTAAATTCTGAAAATTGCTTTCACTGTCCCTGTAGCTTAAATCCGCGAGTCTTGATAGTCAAAGGTTCTTAGTGTACCGTAAAAATCCAGTAAATATTCAGTGCAGTTAGATGGTGGTTCTGGTACTCGTTTGATACTACTGTAGGTGGTATAAGTTACCTTTTTAGGGCTTCTTGCATATGTCATCTTTTTATATAAAGTTGTAATCTCTGTTTGTCCGATCATAACTCGGGAACCTCTGGACCGATTTGTGTTGAATTTGAATTGGGGAACTCGGGAGAACTTTACAAGCGAACGTTTCCCGGTAAAAACGTCCAAGTGCGAGTAAATGGCGGGAGTAATTTTGAGTACCCTAGCTAGTCATGTTTATTCTCGTTCTCTTTTAATGTAATAAAAATAATCAATCTTATATTTTCAAATTCATAAGATGTCACTTTTTTCTGTTAAACAGTGATTTTTTTTAAAATTTAAGAATGGAATCCACAGTTTTAGTTTTCTGCTTAAACTGGTTATTTTTGGATTATAGATTTTTCTTAATTTAGTGAGGGGGGGGGTAATGTTCTATCCAACCATCTATCTGTATATTCATTTATTTATTTTTCTATCCATCTATGTATTTTTCTATCTATTTATCTATATATCTATATATCTAAAAATCTCTATATATTCATCTACCTTTCTATCTATATGAAAAAATAAATAAAACAGTCACCCATCAGTCCGAAGAGAGGTATGGGTAGAGCCCACATCACCGCTCTACACCCAAAGGGAGTTATATATCTATCCATCTACTTATCTATCTATCTTTCTTTCTTTCTATATATGTGAATGCTGACGCTGACATGAATCAATCTATCCATCTATCTTTATATCTATATAAAGGCTGACATGAATCAATCTATCCATCTATCTTTATATCTATATAAAGGCTGACATGAATCAATCTATCCATCTATCTTTATATCTATATAAAGGCTGACCTGAATCAATCTATCCATCTATCTTTATATCTATATAAAGGCTGACATGAATCTATCTATGTATATTAAGGCTGACGCTGACATGAATCTATCCCGGGCTGACGTAGACAAGTATAGAATGAGTTCAAATATTAAACGTCAGCAGATGGACGATTCTAAAAATGAATATGCAAACCAGCTGCAGAAAACTAATGAATTACAGGTATATTCTACCATTAAATCTTTCATTCATACATTCATCTATTCATCCTTTCATTCATTCTTATATTCATCCTTGTATTCATTCATTCATTCGTGTTTTCATCCTTTCATTTCATTCAATATGTAAACCAGGTACATACATTTCATTGACTCAATTTCTTTATCCCGTTATTTTTGTTTCATTGTCAATTCATCCTCCAATATACATTTTTATTTTTATTTTTAATATTCATTCATTTCTTTTATTTCCAATATTGAAAATCAATTTGAAAAAGTATTATCTATTTATGAAAAAAGTAAAAAATTTATATACATTGAATTATTTCAGCGACAATATTATTCTACACTGTTACCTGGGGTATTCACTGGTCTTCAGGTGATTTTTTTGTAATTTTATAATCATAATACAATATATGCCACCATTTCTAATAAAATTCGGAACTAGTCTTTTTTTTAAAGAACAAGACTTCCAGGATCTTCGAGCTTAGCTGTTGCTCTATTGCTCCATTTTCTCTTAAGCTATTTAAAAAAAAACATCGCGAATTTATCGGATTTTTCCTTGAATTTTAAAAATCGAAATTTTTAAAAGTTAATTTTTTAAATTCTGACCATCCATACCCCTTTCCTGGGGTCATGAAAGTGCTAAACTTTGGTTTGATACACTCGGACAGACAGTGAAGCAAATCAAACATATTTATTTGATTAACTCATGAAGATTAAAACTATCCAATCACTTTTCTGATAATATTATTTTAAATTAATTTTTGGGTTTGTTAACTTTTTGTTAATGTTTTGATTTTATCTATTTCTAAATATTGAAGGATCTGGAGGAGAAAAGAATTAAGTGTATACAGAATTATATGAGGAAATCTGCTGCCATAGAACAGGAATAATTATATACATTCAGTCATTCATTCATTTATTCATCCTTTTATTCATTCATTCATTCAGTCAGTCATTCAGTCTTTTGTCCCTTTTCGCTAATTCCTCAATGAATTAAAAAGAATAACGAATAGATTCAGATTTATTTTATTGTTATATATCGTTTATCTTTAAATCCATTTAATCTTTTATTTAGAAATTTATTAATTCTAAGGTTTTATCGTATTATTGAGTTTTAAGCAGTGCTTAGGATCCATTTAATTTTGATGCGGATCCTGGATCCTCACTGGAAAAAAATGGATCCGGATCCATGTCATTTCTTATAGATTTACTGAATTTTTTAAACAAAATTAAAAATAATTTTCGAATTTTTTGTTTTATTTTCTTTCGCATATTTTTATCCTAAAACTCGATGAACCATTCAGAAATGAGGAAATTTTTATAACCTCTATTTTTTTCAAAAGTTCAGATTTTGGTTTTAGGAGTAAAAAAGTTTTTTTTGCAGTTTTTGGTTGATATTTTACCCCTTGGATCCGGATCCGTGGATCCGCATATTTTTGCGGATCCGGATCCAGGAAGCCAAAATCTTTTGGATCCAACGGATCCGGATCCTAAGCACTGGTTTTAAGTTTCAAAGTTAAAAAGAAAGTACTTGTTTACTACCCTGTTTTGAAATTTAAGAACACTCCCTTTAAAGGGACTCAAGGCGTAATTTCAAGTGTCTTCCTTTTAAGAAAGGAGTGGCATGTCGGATTCACAACTCTTATTAGAAAGTGTTGAATTCTGTTAATTTCATCTTTGTCACTGAAGCAATAATGCACTAGTCACTAGAGACACCAATTAAGAATAATCAATTTTTAGCTAGACAAAAAACGATATCTCTTTCATTCTTGAACAAGGAAAGGGATTACCGTTGTGAATCCAACTTTGCACTATAGTGCAAAGTCCCTTCGGATAATTTCTCTCTTGTTTCTGAAGCAAGAAATACGTAAGTTACTATTGTTGAGAAACCCCAAAGGAAATTTATCAATTTTCTGGAACAAAATCTTGGATATATACTTTATACTTGATAATACAAAGCTTTTAAGGGTACCGTCGTGACTGGGACATACCATGGGTCACTTGAAATTAAGTACAGTCCCTTTAAGACAGGTTTTGTCTGTGCCTGTGTTGAATGTATGGAATGGTTCCAGGACGTGCTTCCAATTGTAACTCAGTGCTTGGAGGGAATTCAAAAATGTACAGACTCAATAAATGAAAAGGAGGTAAAAATTATTTACATTCATTATTCAAAATATTAATTCTATCTTTGTAAAAATAATCACTTTTTTTGGTTTGATTTGTCCAAAATATTACAAATTTTAGTTTCTAACGGTTCTTTTTTGACTCTTTGATTTTGTATATTTCGTAATTTGAAGTATTTGATTTTAAGGTAACACATAAGGGTCAGAAAATTAGAGTTTGTGACGTATGTTCAGTTTCTTAATTGAATAAAACATATATATATTTATACATCTTTATATCATTGTTATGCTGGATTGAACAGTTGGATGAATACAATCGGCCCCTATATTTATTCTAAAAATAATATTATTTATTTATTAAATGATAGGTATCTTAATGTTTCTGCAGTATCATATATCTATAGATTTTGATAAAACTCAATTTTGCACCATATGATGAGTCTAATGGGTGCATCAAAAAATTATTTTTAAAATTTGTTTTAAATTAATACTGCAGAAAACCGCAGAATTTATAGTTTTAATTCAACTTTAATAGATAATTTAAGATTCATAAACTATTAAATTTTTGTTAAATATTTCGTCGTCGAATAATTTAAAATAACGATTTTCTAAACTTGAGAATTTTTGCACTCTTACTCAGCAATTATTCACCGTAAAAACTTCTTATTGGTCTCAAATGAATCCTAATATTTTAATCTAATACTGCACTCTTAGCTTACTACTATTTCTAGCAGGTCACTCCCTTTAAACGTGATGATTAAATAGCATTTTATCTCTGATATATAAAACTGCTACCTATTTTTTATTTCCGATTTTTCCCCGGGGAATTTTGATAATTGTTGGCAACTAATGTGATAGAGCCTCCCTTTTATTGTAGATAAATATATTTGTTTGATTGTCGGATGTTTGCGTTGTAAAAAAAAAGATGGGATTGTAAAAAAATATTGGTTTGCAAAAAAATGTTATCAAAAAATCAAACATCAAACTGTAAAACCTGCAGTGGGTGGATGGGTTGGTTGGTTGTTCGGCCAGTCGGTCGTTTGGTCGGTTGGTCAGTTAGTTATTCGGTTGGTCGGTTGGTTGGTTTGTTCTTTGGTTTGTTCATAAATTGGTTGGTTGGTTGGTTGGNTTGATTGATTGATTGATTGATTGATTGATTGATTGATTGATTGATTGATTGATTGATTGATTGATTGATTGATTGATTGATTGATTGATTGATTGATTGATTGATTGATTGCGTTTACAGGACTCTCAGATTGTGATAGAGAAGTATAAAAGTGGATTTCTCCCCCCGACAGATTATCCATTCGAGGACCTTTCAACCATGGATAGTTCAAACCAGTCATTATCTTCGGTTAGTATGATACATTCGTTTATTCATTCAATCATTCATCCTTTCACATGTTCATTCATACTTTCATTCAAAGACCTTTCAACCATGGATAGTTCAAACTAGTCATACATTCATTCATTCATTCATTCATTCATTCATTTATTTATTTATTTATTTATCCATCCATCTATTTATTTATTCATTTACCCAGTCATTCATTTGCTACACATCTATCTAACCATCCATCAATCTATCCATCTATATATCTATCTATCTATCTTTCTAAATGTATGTCTATATTTAGACCCCTATATCTACCCCAAGTGAGAAAAAGTTATCTATCCTGGGAACTATAACTGGAGGCAAGATACGGAAAAGATCTGGTCTTCTTGGCATCTTTACTCAGACTAAGGTTAATTACTAACTTCAGCATGTAATACAAATTATTTAGTTTTTTTTTATAATTTAAAATGCATTTAAATGGGCTGTAAGCTTAATTTTAAGTGACCCTCCATGCAAAGATGGCAATGCCCGATTTACAACGGTACCCTTGAAACCTTTGTTTAAATGATTATGAATTAGATATCAAAGTTTAAACACTTAACCTGGTGAAATGACAATGTCTTCTACATTATTGATCAGATAAAGGTTTCAAGGGTACCTTTGTGAATCGGGCATTGTCATCTTTGCATGGAGGGTCAATCTTTCTTGAAATTACGCTTACAGTCCCTTTAAGAAGGGGGGGGGGGGGTAAGGGGTTTATAATTAAACACTTATTTTTTCTTATTTCAAAGAAATAAAAAAAAATTTACTTCTATAATTTTTGTCCTTATATGGAGTTAACAACTAACTTGGGAAAGGTGGGGGGTAGTATTCTGTAGATTAATGAATGATATCGGGGGTTTAAAGTATTCTGTAGATTCTAACTTCTTCTTTCTCTTTCAATCACTGTGGCACACTCTGTGTGGATTCTTCTAACAACATTTTTAAACAATGTAAGTAATTTTATCTGCGCAATTTGTCTGTTGCTTTTCTAATGGTGTTGGGAGCTTTTTTGTAAACAGTTTTGTGCAGTCCTTTAATTTAATAAAAAATGAACTGTTTGCTCCAATAATATTTAATAAAGTAAAATTGAAGCAGCCAGTGGGGCCTATTGCTCAATGGTGAAATTTCAATTTAACTTTGTAATCCTTCCCCCCCCCCCTCGATGTAAGTCAAAACTTGTGAGGGCTTTGATGGTTGAAAAGTTAATGCCAATAAAGATTCTTTTTTTCTTTTTAAAGTCTGAATTTTTCGCAGAATTTGATTTTTTAAAAGAATTATATATTCTTTTAAAAATGACATTCTTTCAATATTTATGCAATATTAAAAAGGTTTAAATGTTTCACTTCTTGGTGATGGTTTATCTTTGGAGCCATTTTTAACGATTAAAAATAGCCATATGTTCCATTAAGTGAACAAATGTAAATGAAGACTTGGATTTAAAAAATATATTTCGCTTTGTTTGACAAACAATCGTTTTTTCCTGTGTTAAATATTTAGAATAGCTCATTTTGTTCAGCTTCTATCATAATTATTATTAATATTGTTAAGGGCGCTTCAGATCCTTTCCATTTTGATGCTTACAAATAATACTTCAACAATATTACTGTCAAATATTTTGAAATTTGTGGATTTGGATCTTTAGCATTAATAGCATGAATTAATTTTAGTTAGTGTTCAGTGTTCATGTAAAATGTTCATGTCAATCTTTGTTTATCCCTTAAAAGTTACTTGAGAATTAGTAGTTTGAGATATTGGAATATAAACTGTGTGTGATGACGTATCATTGCATATGAGAAGGGATGACATGCAAAATTTAAACTTTGGGCTCTATTTAAACCAAGACTTTCTTATAATGTGTTTTTCTGCATTGTAAATTGCATATTAATTATCAATCAATCATTCAATAAATCAGTCAACTTATCACTGTAAGTATCAAACAAACAACAAATCAATCAAGCTGCCATTTAACTTAGCATTGAAATAACCAAACCACTTATTTATCAGTAAACCAATAAAATTAGCTTGTTAATCTAACAACCCATTAATTACCAATTAAATCAAAACCCACTAAAACCCATTAAAAATCCCTGAAAAAAAAAAAAAATAATTCATCCATTAATCAATTGTTTAATTCTCTCATTGATCAGCTAACAAATCAACCAATAATTCTTACAACCAATCTAACGAACAATCAATTAATAATTAATTGAATGTGAATAAATTACCAACTATTCTTAAATCAATTAATCCTCTAATAAATAACTCCCCTGTTTAGGATGTGAATGGACTTTCATCCATCCATCTTTCCATCAATCAATATTCTAATAAATAACTCCCCTATTTATAATGTGAATGAACTATCCTTTATCCATCTTTCCATCAATCACGGTTAAGAATGTCAATAAATTACCATCTCTCCACCTTTCAATAAATCAATCAATCAATCCTCTAATAAAATACCACTCTATTTAGAACTTGAATGAACTATCATCTAGCCATCAATCAACCCTCTAATAAATAACTCCCCTGTTTAGTATGTGATTGGCCTTTCATCCATCCATCTTTCCATCAATCAATCAATCAATCAATCAATCAATCATTATTCTAATGAAATAACCTTCTATTTAGAATGTGAACGGACTTAAATCTATCCATTTATCAATTAGTCCTCTAAAAAATTACTTCCTTATTTAGAATGTGAATGAATTAACATCAATTAATGATTAACTCCCTATTTAGAATGTGAATGAATTACCATCAATCAATCAATCAATCAGTTAAAAAATAACTCCCTTATTTAGAATTTGAATGGACTACCATCTATCCAGGAGGATTTCTCTGAACTGCCACCTAATCAGAGAAGAAAGAAACTAATCAGTAAACTAGACGAACTCACAGCTAAAATATCCCAGGTACAAGGCTAATTGGGGTCGTGTCGGATCAAAAATCCGTACCGTGCAGGTACAAGGCTAGTCGTATCGTGTCGGATCAAGTATCCATACCGTACAGGTACAAGGCTAGTCGTATCATGTCAGATCAAGTATCCATACCGTACAGGTACAAGGCTAGTCGTATCATGTCAGATCAAGTATCCAAGGCTAGTTTTCTCATGTCGGGTCAAGCATCTAGCGTGTACGGTACGAAAAGTGGCAGCTGGAACCTAAACAAATAACTTCTCCAAATGATAAAATTGAATACCTAGAATATACTCAACTTAAATCCTTAGTTTACTGGATAGAATTTGATGTATTTCATGGTTGTATATTTTCTTGAAAACTTATTTCTCCACCCTAGAAGTTTGGTGTTTTTTCAGTCGCTGAATTTATTGAAAAATTTAACTTTATAAGGTAAAATAAGTATAACTTTGGATTGTAAGTATTGAAATGAATGACTAGCTTGATGTACAATTTTTATTATTTCCCCCAGGTCTTCAATAATCATTTCTTAAAGGGGGGAGGGGGGGGGGGGTGCATAAGTTGTATTACTCTCTGAAAAATTTAAACAGTGGTTAAACATAACTTAGAATTGTCGTAGGACGCTGATTTTTTTGCATGCGAACTCACTAATATGTATTGTAACTGCAAAATGCAATTTTAAATACACCCATGATATTTTTATGAGAAATACATTGTCCTCAACCAAATATTGTAAAAAGAGAAAGATATGTCGTCTTCTGGAGATACTAACTCTTGGATCTAGCTTTTTTTCATAGTTTTTGAAAAAATCATAAATACCCTGGAATTTTATCAAATGTCTCATAATGTTTTTTTTTCTGGTTTCAAAACTTCTGGATATGTATAGAATTTAGCTCAGATGCCAATTTAATACATAAAACCAATATGTTATTTGTTAAGGTACAAAAGAGGTTATAACATGTTAATAAGGTTGTGCTACCTTTTTTCGATTCACACTGTCCACTGGCTTTTGATAGCTATTGCAGATCAAAGAAGAATTCAACGTCAGGGTTACCCACAAAACATATGGAGTTTTCTATATTCATAATTTCCTGCAACTACAAATTATATAACTATTTATAACACTGTTATTTTGGTTCGCAGTGTTATGAAGTTTTTGGACAGAAATTTTCTCTTTATCGAGACGGTTCAAGCTAAAGCTCGAGACAAAATATGATCTAAAAACGCGAGAACCTTCGAGATATAGAATAAGTCCCAAAAACTTTGTAGCACGTTGTGCCTGAACAATAGTGTTATATGTAATTTTATGAAACGTTTGTGTACTTCTCTTATTTCAAGGATCATTTCTAGATCAAATAAACTTTGAAACAAAGCAGCAGTCAAAATGTAAAGTTCATTTCAATTTTATTTTTATTTCAATTGAAAAATAAATATTTTGGAAATATCCTGATTTTTTTTGGATAATATCCGGGAACCAATCAAAACTTTATAGCACACGGGCTAGATTGTACAGCTAATTTAACTTTATAGCACGATGATAACTTTATAGCACGTTCATTATGAAATTCACGGTGAAGGGTGGAAGAATGTTAAAGTACACTATAGTTTCATAAACTCCTTTTTTGCATTGCCGAAACATTGAATAAACCATTTAAGACTATATTCTAAGCAGAAACTAATATTTAAAGAGTTTCAAGTCGTCTTTACAGTCTCATTCTGTCTGAGTATTGAGTAACACTGTATCATGTAGTGATTGGTGATTTTATCAAAACAATGAAGACGACTTTTCTATCAAGTTTTGAATTATAGCAGACTTTTTTCAAATTTTAAGTTTATAAGAAAACTAAGAAAAACTGTACAATGGCCGCTTCTCTTTGTTTCCATGTTTATCTATTCAGTTTGAAAGCTGGGTAAAAATCCAAATTCAAATCAAAAGTCGTCTTCATTGTATTGATGTATGTATACGACGACGACTGTTAAGCATTTTTTATTTACTTCAGGAGACAGCAGCGCGGGATGGTTTAATGAAAATGAAAACTGTTTATGAAGCAAATCCTGCGCTGGGGGATCCTATGTCTATACAGGTAATTTTAAAAATAGGCATTTTTTTCTCTTTAAAAATTGACAATTTTTTGTTGTTGTTTCTCTGTCTTTCTACGAGACTGTAAACGTAGTTTTAAGTGACACTCTGTCAAGGTTGGTATGTGCTTTTAAAGGGGTTGTAAAGGAAAAATGAAAGGGGGTATAGGCTGAAATCTGAGAATCTCAGGACTTGAACGATACCTATAAGACAACTATCTGATGTTCCTGTATCAAGAAATTGACATCATAAAAATGTGTCAAAATTATACCAAAACGTATATATGTTAGATCAGGTGACCAGAACTCCCTCCAATGACAGTGCAGTATACTGGTCACGTGATACAGAGCGGAGTCATGTGACAATAATATTGCACTGGCATTGGTTGGAGTTCTGGTGACATGGTCCGGAGTTTTATATCAATTTCTCGATACAGGAACATCAGATAGATGTCTTATATGTATCGTTCAAGTCCTGAGATTCTCAGGGTTCAGCCTATACCCCCTTTCATATTTCCTTTACAGTCCCTTTAACAACGATACACTTAAACGATTTTTGTCTGATGAAAAATGAATGATATATCTCTTGCATTTCCTTTGAAAGTTGGTTAGTTTCAATTGTGGTTCCTCTAAAATTGATTCAAGCATTTATGCTGTAGAAATCATGGCGAAAAATGTCAAAATTAAACACTAGATAAATGTGTGTAAAGGGTAGCTGTGTGAAGCGAGCTTNGGGGGGGGGGGGGGGGGGGGTTAAAAGGTAAGGTTTCAACAATCATGAATGCTAGTTGGAATAAGATTAGACACGCTGAGAGATTTCCCCCAAATTTTATTTAAATATCAAAACTGGGCAACTTTTCCCAAAATAATGATAAAAATCCGAATTTTGAGAATTTTAAGAACATTTTATTGTTGACATTAAACAAAATATATAGCAGTTCAACCTAAACAGTTTTTTATGATATTTTTTATTTTGAATTGTGTTCAGGGACAGCTGACGGAAAACGGGCAAAGATTGGATAAATTAAGATCGGAACTAAGGAAGTTTCAGGTATTGTATTGTAGCAGTTGTAAAGAGGTTAAAATTGAGGAAATGGGGGGGGGTTTACCTGTCAGGAAAATAAAGTGAACCGCAGTAACAGTGTTCTAAATTTTTAAACCTATTTATTACGGTCTGGGGAAGTAAGGGAGATGAAAGCGTCTTACACGGGAATCTTTCTGCTCGTGCTTTTCTTGGGTCTACATGGTCTATTAAGTCGGGTTTATGGTTTATAAATTGAGTTCTGTTCAGGGTTGGTTGGAGGATTGTGAGGGTCGGGCAGCTCCAGGTTCACCGGCCAGCTCTATATCTACACGCAGGAACGGTAACAGTCCCAGGTACACATTTTATTTTGATTTTGATTTTGATTTTGATTTTGATTTTGATTTTGATTTTGATTTTGATTTTGATTTCAGACGAAGCTCTGTTTCTGATGAAGTGGAGTCTCTGTCCAGGTCTGCTAGTGATTCTTCAGTTAATCATAACAAGAACTCCCTCACTAGCCAAGGGTAGGTTGTAATACTATCAAAATTAATCATAAACCATATAAATTGGTTGACAGTGTTTTCACGAGTACCATCATAAAATCGCCATTGTCTCCAATTTGAAGAAGAGAAAAACAATCAAACATGTTTAAACGACACACGCGAGTTTTCTAGATATTAACTCGCGGATTTCTTAAGCAATGAAACTATCACGTTTTCTGGCCAATATTTTTTGGAACGTTCCTTGTTTTCAACCGTTGATCGTACATCCTCTGTAAATAAGATTATATGCAGGATACGGATATATTATTTCTTCTAATGTTTAAATTGTGTTTATTATTAATAGCCTCTACAGGATTTCCACCCTAACCATTTGTAATGTAAAATGTGAATGGACATTTCTCCATTATAAAGTGGAAATTTGTATTCTAATGTAAATCATGTAATACGTGAAGATATCTTTTATTCTTGAGTATTAAGTTGAGAAGAGGTTATTTCTGTCCAATTCTAATCGAAAATATGCTGTTCTCTCATTAATTTGTAAACAGGGTATTATTATCAAATATCAACCAATAATAGGTTTTTCCTTTGATGTTTTTTTAGAAAAATTCACTACTGTAAAAAATATCAGTCCAAAATAATAAGTTATTACGCATGATGAATTTAAAAAGTAAAAAGTGCCCGAGGTTAATAGGAAGATTTCCTGTAAAGGTTGACCGGGTCCACTATGACCTTGACCGGAACGGGTCCTGGTATCACCAAGGTCACATGTCGACTGGTCAGTCCTCTAGCTAAAACTAGATCAACTGAAAACCTATTGGTGGAGGGCCCAAGGTAGCCAGGCATCCATCTTTTTTTTCCACTTATTATTTTTTTTTTTTCGTTAGTGTACATTTTTTCTCTGTGTTTAGAATCATCGGATAAAATTGAGTTTCAATTGCCAAATTATTCTTACTGGCTTCTTAGTGGTTTGTGCAAAGAACCCAGAGCTTGGAACTTTTGTGTTGGATAACCATAATCCTGATCGCTTTATCTCGATATCCATTGTGGGCACTTTTTAATTTGAGAAACGATAAAAAAACTAAATCTTTTCTTCTCTCCATTTTATTTTTTCCTTTCCTGATCAAACCCCTGAATACAATGTGGAATATCAATCATAAAGATTACATTACTCTGCAGATTAACGAAAGATTGATCTCATTATCCACAATACAAAGAGTTGTTAGATTCACTAAATCTGCAAATTTATGGCTACCCCGATCTGAGGCCGAATTTAAAGAATTTGAGCCGCGGCTCAAATTTAACCCGCTGCTCAAATTGGTTCCACTTAAAATCGTAATCAATGTTTCAAGATTTAAGTCGGCACTTAATTAAAACCACTTTTGGGGGGAATTGAGACGTGAGTCAAATTCATTAAATTCGGACTCTGGTTTCCTAAATAATGAGGGTTCTTTTTGTCCTAGAAAAGAGATTTTTGTTTATGGTCTAGATCCCATATAAAATAGGGAAAATTTCTATGTTATATAAAAGGATAATGAAGAAAAAAAATCACTGCAAAAGGATTAATCGAGAAGCTGAAATAAATACAGCGCACAATAATTTAGTCTGTTTTTCAAATTATTAATCGATTTCAGTTTTAAACTTAAATGCAAAAAATTAAGTTTGTATCATTCGGATGTTTTAACTTCTTTTTAAGATTGTGATCTTTAAAAATCATTTTTAAAATTTAATTTCGTTTTTTTTGCTTCAATTAGATTTTGAATTGTTTAAATGTGCATGTCTCTATTTGGTTCCTATAATCCTGAAGTAAAGTAGTTCTTCTAGATTAGTTATTTGTATACAGCTTGTACACTATACAGTGTACACGTGCCATACTGCATAGTGTACACTGTACAGTACAAAGGTACTTTTTCTGGGTGTTCAACACGTCTGGAACACCTAGAAGTTACAAGTGAATTAAAATGGAAATGAGTAATTTTAATGATTTTTACATCACTCTAAAAAGTATTATGTAAGACATTAAATTATTTATGGACTGATTCAATTTGGGTTCATTCATTAGGTGTAAGACTTCGCTATTTGGCTAAGATACTATTAGTAGCAGATTTTATACACTTATGCTATATTTTTTGGCAGATACTATTTTATGGTAGATTTTATTTACTAAGATACTAGTTGTAGCAGATTTTATGGACTAAGAAACTATTTGTAGCAGATTTTATTGACTAAGATACTATTTGTAGCAGATTTTATGGCCTTAGACACAAGTTGTAGCAGATTTTATGGACTAAAGATCTTATTTTAGCAGATTTTATGGCCTTAGATACTACTTGTGGCATTAGTAACGACTATGCTATTTCACTGCTCAGAAAATGGTTGATTAATCACAGTTTTAGAAAGTATTTGTTAGTTTTATAAACCTGCTAACTCCTGCTTGTCCATGTTGCATGCTTTATCCCGCATTTATAAATAACATTTCTTATACATTGTCTCCCGATCCGGATATCCCAAAAATCCAAATCCCAGCCGGCAAAATAGTAACCAAAATATACAATGAAATAATTGTTAATTTTTTTAAAACACAATTATAATTGAATCGTAATTTTTAAAACTTACACGTTCTCTGAATGATAAGTTCTTGGAGTTGGATCCGGACATTTTTAACATAACTGATCCAGAATCCGGATCTGCATTAAAGTGGAATAAATCCAAGGCACTGCCACAAAGAAAGAGGCTATAAGTACGACTGCACAGATTTTTGGGCATTATTTTAAGTTAGTATTTTTTTTTTACAGCTAGGCCTATTTTTCTTGACAAAATTCTTCAAGCTATTTACGATTTATAATGCAGAAGATTAAACTTTCCTTTACATTTTGTTGTTGAAGCCGCATCTGTTGTAGTATGAACATTAATGATGTGGTTGATCATCAGTATATGTATACTTATATTTGTTTAATATTTTTCTTTATATATTTACAATCTTTAAGTCAATAAATAGGTCAATTATTGCCTTTTCCAATCTAATAGGCAATATTTTGGCACTAAAGTTCTTTAAAACTTTTTAGTGCCAAGTTAAATGAACTATTTTAAGTGGAATGTTTAAGTGACCCTCCATACAAAGATGATAGTGTTTGATTCGCAATCATATCCCTGAATCCTTACATTTATTAATCATATGGAAGATATTGTCGGGTTTTTTGGTTTAAACGTTTTTAATTCAGATATTACGTTTATGTTCTCCGGTGCAAGTAAAATCAAAATCACAACTTTGTAGAGAAATTACAATTTAAAATAATAAGTTTTCGAAGTTATAGAAATTGACATCTAATTCATACATGATCATTCGAAGCTTTGTAAATCGGGACTTGTCATCTTTGCACGAAGAAATTACGCTTACAATCCCTTTAAGCCTAGATCAAGGAGTATAAAATAGAAGGGAGATACAACGACGCGGCCCGCCCTACCATATGATTATACGGGCTTTGCAGACGGTACTCCATTTGCATTAGCAATATTTGTCTGATGTACAATTACCGCGTATACAATAACCTATTCTGAATATTTCTTATTCAAATGGAGTACTGTCTGCAAAGAATGTATAACCCTATGGTAGGGTCGGGCCGCGTCAGTTTTATCTCCCTTCTATTTCATACTCCTTGGCCAAGATATAAAGTTGTATTTAACCAACTAAACCTTAGTATTGTTCTAGTAGGAGTTCTCACAGTCCTGAGAGTGGAATTGGTACTTCAGCGCAGAGCTTAGGAAATCAAGATACTGATATTCAGGTACAGTGTGGCCGGCCTTTATATCAATACAATGAATACGACTTTAATATCTAAGTTTTGATTTCTAACAACCTTTTTTCGAATTAGAAGTTTACAAATAAACAATAAGAAGCTGTTAATTGACATCTGATTATATGTAATGTATCCATGCTGTTTAAATTAGTTTAGTGGAATTAAAAATTGAAATCAAAAGTCGTCTTCATAGTATTGATATATGCGACAAGGACTAAAAAATAGCTGACACCGTTTAAAAAAATAGTTGTTAATGTTCTTCAGTTGAGCCCATAAAATTCTCAGAGGGAAACGACTGTTAAATTCAAATTATTATTTTAAATAGTCTTATGAACAGTTAAGACAGCTATGGTGCAGTGATGAACCCATTTCACTTAATAAATCGATTTTAATAATAATAATCACTGTCAATCCTTCAATCTAAGACTTTAGGCTTGATCTCACTTCCGTTTAAGTGCAATTAGGGACTGAGTGTAAATTCAGGGGTGGGAGTCAAGCCTATGACGGTCTGCTATCGACCCTTATGTACACTTTCATATACCTAATGCTCCTGTCGGTATCATTAGTATGTTGATTTTTTCAAGATGGTTTAAAGCTACTCGTTTTTTAACTTTATTTTTAACAACATTATTGTTCATCTTAATTTATTTTAACATTAGTTCGACTTAATTGATCTACGCTTAGCTCAACTGAATTATTAAGTTAACTCTAGCTCTTCAAAGCAGTGCTTAGGATCCATTTAATTTTGATGCGGATCCGGATCCTGGATCCGCACTGGAAAAAAATAGATCCGGATCCGGATCCAGGTCATTTCTTTAAGATTTACTGAATTTTGTTAACCAAAAAAATTTCAAATTTTTTTGATTTATTTTTTCGCTTATTTTTATCCTAAAACTTGATGAACCATTCAGAAATGAGGAAATTTTAATAATCTCGCTTTTTTTTCAAAAGTTCAGATTTGGGTTTTAGGAGTAAAAAAATTTTGTTTGCAGTTTTTGGTTGATATTTTACCCCTTGGATCCAAATCCGTGGATCCGCATATTTTTTGCGGAACTTAATCCAGGAAACCAAAATCTTACGGATCCAACGGATCCGGATCCGGATCCTAAGCACTGCTTCAAAGCGTAAAGTTGTTATTTTAAACAATTAAGTCTTTAATCCGGGAAAATCGTCTGAAGTTTAGCAACCTCTCATTGGCTATAAGCAGACTCTGAAAATTCTGATCCCGCATTTCTTAAGGGAATCATTTTAATTCCTTGATTCACAATCACAAACGATATTATTGTTGGCTGATCCCGCGATAAATAAAATTTGGGAAAATAAATCTCAAGACTAAGCTGTTATTGAGGCTAATTTAAGACTCTAGCTTGGGGATCATGTGCAAATTTCCACAGAGTTGTGGTTTATAAACCGGTCCAATATTGTATTTTATGGTTGGTTGGTTGGAATTGGCGGATTTCGGGATTTGATTAGATTAAGACTTAACAAGATTAATTCTCCACCAAATTGTTGATTTACAAAAGATACTATTCTTTCTGAAAGGGTTTTACAGTGGTAGACTGTTATATCAATACAATAAAGACGACTTTCACTTTTGATTTATATCAAGCTGTTAAACAGCATGGATACACATAAACATAGAAGAAGTCAAGATTCAGCTGAAAAACTGTCAACTAACAAGCTTCTTTTTAATTACTTGTCAACTTGTAATTAGACAAATAAAAAAGTCTTCTTCATTGTAGTGATATAATCGCCTACCACAGTATGCAAAGTTACGAGACCTTTAGTTTCATAACTCCTCTGTATGTAGGATATTGATGATGATGAATTCTATGATGTTGAACCTCTTCCAATCCTTGGCAAGTGCCGAGGTCTTTATACTTTTGAAGGTAAAATAATAATTATTTGTAATTTATCTAAAAACTAAATGCAATTTCAAACTAAAAACAATGAAAAAGAGAGAAAAAAAATTGGATTTTTTCCAATCATCGATTCTGAAGAGAATTTCGACTAAAACTGAATTTACAACAAATATAACTCGTTTTTTTTTTCTTGCTTTTGATTTTTTTTTTGTAAGAACTAACTTAAATCATTTGCACAATTAATTCTTTTTATAAAAGTATTAAATATATTTTGATGGTTTGTTGGTTTTTAATTCCGAAAAAAGGCTAAGCCGATCGGATCCATTTTTTTTGACAACTCACTTAATCCCGGGGAAAGTTTATGGCTGGTCAAAAATTAAAAAAATTTGAATAGAAAAAATGTTGATTTAAAAAATTTGGAGATTCATTAAAAGTTAACAGAATTGTCTGCGACATTGTTAGTTTGACAATCATAACGAAGAAAAGGGGCTTGAAAAACATTATTCAAAAGCTAAAATTACTACTAGAGAAGAAAAGTTTTTTTTGTATTATCTGTAATAATATATTCTAAAAATAATTATTTTTTGTATTTGCAGCGAGCAGTGAGGGTAGTGTAAGTCTGGAGGAGGGTGAGGAGCTGTGGTTGATAGAGACAGATCAGGGTGATGGATGGACCAGGGTGAGACGACTCAACCCAACCTCGGTGGATCCTATGCCGGAGGGATTCGTGCCAACTTCATATCTGGAGATATACGATATGTTTGCTCAACCTCAACCGGTTTAATCCAGTTTAATCCAGTTCTAGCCCAGCCCATGGATAATAGAGTTAAATCCAGCTAAATCCACTAGATGATTCAGTTTAAACCAGATCTTCCGCTGTTTTATTCAGTTTAAACCTTCTACTATTGCTATTTACAGAACTATAACTACTTATGGATAATCCAGTTAAAACCAGATCTAATCCTGGATAATCCAGTTAAGATTTTCTCTTGGATAATCCAGGTTAAGCCAGATCTACTTGTGCATAATCCAGTTCAAACCAGATCTACTCCTGGATAATCCAGTCTTAACCAGATATACTACTGGATAATCCAGTTTAAACCAGATCTACTCTTGGTTAATCCAGTTTAAACCAGATCTACTCCTGATTAAAATAATTGATTAAATTAATCTAACTGAAGTTGATTGAAAAACACAAAATCCAACTTTAAAATAAGTGAAAAAGCATGTTTTGAACAGACGATAAATTGTCTTTCTTTGAAAGTTGTCACTGTGAAAGAACGGGATAAAATCCTTAATATTCTGATTATTAAAACAATTCTGTACAACAGTGTACAATGCACTGTACAGTATGTACATTGTGATGGTATTTTGTACTGTGTATACTGTATACAATCTGAAACAAGTATTTAGTTCCTTTAAACCTCGTCAAGTATTTTTTATGTTATTATATGTGTCTGATTAATGATGCAGCTAACAGGAAGGTTAACATATTTTTTACTTATTTTCCATTAATCTTCTCATAATTGGAAAACACTTCACAGTTGATCTTGAAATTTTCGTTCTTGTCTTTACTGCAAAATCCGCAAGTCACTCGTATTAAGAAACCGCAATCAAAATTTGTCATATATCAAGTTAAAACACAAGGATAATTTTTGAGATTACAATTGAGAATCGTGTTTCGGATAGGTCTCTTGTAGTTATTATAACAGTCCCTTTAGTACATGGTTACCCACAAAGCATGAGACTTCAAGAGACGACTGTACAGAATGTAAAATGTTTATTTTTTATATTTAGGGTTCTCTACGCCTGTAAACTGGTTTCTTTCGTTGCCAAGTCTATAAATAAGTCATTAACAGGCAGTATTTAAAGCAAACAACTTAACTAAATCTTGCAATCTTTATATCATGAGTTTATGTCGTCTTTACAGTCTTATTCTTTGTGGGTAATCCTGTAGATGATGAGGGGGGTTGTGTCAATCATTTTATTAAATAAATCATAATCAACAAAGTTAATGGGGGGGGGGGGGTAAATTAAATATTATATAAATTATTTTAACCTACCTGAAGCTAGATATTACTCTGTATTATGCTCAATTATCTGAGGCATTCTGTTTATTTTAATAAATATTACGTTTAAATGTGAATTCATTGTCAAATGAAGAAATTTTATAAAGTTTAACTTACAACTTTAGAGACTTCAAAAGAATCTTTAAAATGTCGGCTTGACAATTTTTCTATTATATTTAAATCTCGGTAATTGTAAAAATAAACCAATAGCTAAGAAACATGTTTTAAAGAGCTTCATATAATTATTCAATCAAAAAAACTAAATATCTTCAGTATTCCATTATCAAAAGGAGAAGTAAATAACATTTTTTTCCTTTGATCTCTCCACAGTTCTGGGTTAAATCAAATAGATTATAGTACAATAGATGACAACGTATAATTTGTACACTCTCAGTACAGTTGTATTACGTCACAAATGTCAATTTAGTTTTTGTGTATTACAAAATTATTAATAATTGCGATAATTTTAGAATAAAGTGCTTATCTTTCAGTAAAATAAGTGCAATTTTATGTGTTCTTTAGTTTCTATTTTTACCGTTTTATATTCAATCTTTGAAAACATGTCAACTGATGTGAGAAAATTTCGTTTTCTTAGTTATATTTGACACTTATGACGTCGTGTATAATTGGTCCATTTCTCGGTTGCCACCTATTGTACTTGATAATCTATTTGAATTCAACTGTATTAAAATCCAATTTGAGGAAACGGTACAAGATTTATCCATGTATTTTACAAGGTTTATCCATGTACTGTACAAGGGTTATTCCAGTACTAAAGTTATGCGTAAGAAAGCACGATTTTCAAAAAAAAGTTTTCTTCTTTGTTACACCATTACTGATTGAGAATATTAGCAAATAACTATCCAAAAACAAAGGTTTTGAATCGTTTCTTTTGTTTGTTAGGATTACAATTTTGCAAACATATGTACAGTTCAATTGGATGATATATTAACGGTTAAAAACACTAAACAGTACCAACAAAAGGTAAGGTATTCTGAATTATATAATAAATGAATTGGCAAAGAGAAAAGAGTTCAAAGATGCATCCAAGAATGTTAAAAAACCTGGATTATTTCCGCATAGTCGTCCTGTATGGGTAAACCTGTAGAATTGCTTTTTAACACTTATCCCGACTGTTTTTACGAAAGTTTAAAATGAAAATATTACAATAAAGCTTTTCATCAAAGATAAATTATGATTTTAAGCGTGCCAACATAAAACAAATCCTCCCTTCACTTATCCAAGATTGATCAAACTTTGGGAAGAGAAATTTAAAAACAAATTTTGTTATTTTTTTTCATTGAAAATTTTAAAAGGTTGCAAAATATTATATTTAATACTTCTAAAGAACATCATACATCATATTTTTAAAAAGATTTTACAGCCCAAAAAGGAAATGCTAATATCTTTTTTTTTTGTTTCGAAGTTTATTTCTAAAATTAGATTGACGAATGAGTGCGACAAACAAAATGTCAAAGATCAAAGAAAAAATCTAATCTGTCATGTTTCTTGGGAGGGACACCCTGTGCATGAATTTTAGGAAATTGAAGAAAATTAAAATAACATTTTCGGACAAATTTCACGACTCTTTTCTATAATAAATCTGTATTTTAAAAACATCAAAAAGGAAATAAAAGGCGACTAACATTCTCTTTATGTCTTAACTTAAAGTTTACTAATAGAAATAGCATATTAAAGTTTAAAGAAAAGCATTCAGCAAAAATATTTTAATAAATTAACTTAGGGTTTTCTTAAATTGTTGATAACTAATTGAACTAAAACGTAATTTAAATAAAATTTTTAATACTAGTTCGGACTTTTTATTTTTATTTTTATTTTTTGAATATTCCGATTCTGAAATATAACTTTAATTTTATTTTTTAGATTTCAGGAATATGCAACAGTTACATCAGGGTAACCCATATTTAAAAACAGGCTTCATATGTTAATTTTGATAAAATTGAGAAAATCGAGAATCCATAGGATGGCCATTCTAGGTAATTAAACCCGAAATGACTGAAAATGTTTTGGAAACAAAGCCTGTTAAAGGAAAATGTTAAATTCCTTATGAAAAGCAAATGGGTTACATTGGGGTCAGAAGATGGGTCAGTCAGCTAAACAATCCAGAGATGACTTCAAGGATGTACACGGATTGGAAGATTTAAGTCTCAATAACTTTCCAGAAGAAATTCTGCGCCAATGCATTTTTCGTAAAATCTAAAAATGGACTCTGTAAGCGTAATTTCAAATGACCCTCCATTGGTATGTGGCAATGCCAATTCACAACGCTACCCTTCAAAGCTGTCTTATCAAGTACGAATTCACGGGCAGCCATAGTACATTTGAATTTCCGAGCCAGGTCAACCTTTCTGGTTCCGGTTTGTACTGTATCGCCCGGACATTGGGTAAATAAAGCAGACACTCAATAGGACTAGCCAGTGCAACAAGGTTGACGCGGTCAGACTTTAGGTTTAATTTCTGATTTTTTTAAAAGCTTGAAATATTTTAACAAAATAGCTAAACATGATAATATATCAAAATTTTGATAAGATTAAAATAATTAAACACAAAATGCATTGTTTATCAGATTAAAGATTAACTTACAATATTTATTCATTTAATGAACAGATTCACAATACACAGAGTAAATACTTTGTTAGACATTAATATAAAATTAAATATACATGATTTTATAAATAATGTTTTTCTTTTATTAAATATTCTGCAGCATTTTTATTCAGTTTGAGGGATCTAATATTTACCATTGTATGGGGCGATAAAGTGACCCGCTATCAATTTTTTAATTTTCAAACCTATATACTACAGGGCTATAAAGTAATTTAGCCAGCCTGCTATTAAATATTATAAGTAAAATTGATTTTATGTTATAGATATTTAACATTCACTATATCTTTTCTCATTTTAACGCAAAACTTTGAAGAATGAGGAGACCAGAAAGGGTTTATAAGCATTTAAGTTAAACCCGAAATAAGCCATACATCGAAAGAATTCATCAAATGTTGTATTCTCCACTTTCTGATAATGGAATGTTGCAGAAATTTAGTTTTTTAATAAAATGATTATATGGAGTTCTTTTAAACTGTTCCCGCATGTGCATGGCTATTTATTTATTTTCGCATTTACTGAGATTTACGTAAAATAATATTAAACCCATTGAAAAATTGTCAAGACGACATTTGATAAATTCTTTCGATGTATGGCTCATTTAGGATTTAACTGTATGTCCCACGAAACATGACAGTTCAGAGACGACTTTAAGGTCGTGTTTAAACTTTGAAATAATTTTTAGGATTTGTTTGTAAAAGTAAAATTTTTGAATCAATTTTCACAAAACACACCTTGTCTTGGCATTTCAAAAGTGTGGTCTTATTATTTCTAAACCATGTCGTGGTAAACCATGTATATATATTGAACATTACAAAATATGAAATATGTCGTGACTCGTTGAACATTACAAAATATGAAACAGCTGAAAATTACATTTAAGAACGAATTTAGACTACATAAAGACGAATTCAATGTTATAATCTAGAATCATTTGAATAAATTAGCTTTTGATATAAAGAAGTGCGCAAGGCTATCCATAAAAAATGCGACTTTATGACGATATTAAACATGAAGATTCGAACTTTGAAGGTTTACTTTTGTATTCTTCTTGCCTTCAATATTATTTTTCAATGATTATCAAAATAACAGTTTTGTAAACATGCAAGAAATTTTATGAAAATTTCGCACAGGCGATGTTGAAGTCATAATCTTTAGGAGTACCTTTGTAAATTAACTTTACTAGAATTAAAAATGCCGCAAAAGTTCTTAAAATTTCAATGCTTAGAGGACAACAAAAAAATCATCCAGAGACCGAGAATATCCGCCAGATAGATTATTTTAATAAATCTCCACATGATGGATTAATTCAATGAATATCCATCGAATGGAAAAGTTTAATAAATCTCTTCCAGATGGATTAGTTTAATAGATCTCCACCAGATGGATAAGTTCAATATATCTCAACCAGAGGAATCGGTTCAATATATCTCCACCAGATGGATAAGTTCAATATATCTCCACCAGAGGAATCGGTTCAATAATTCTCCCCCAGATGAATTGGTTCAATAATTCTCCGCCAGATGGATTAGTTCAATAATTCTCCACCAGATGGATTAGTTCAATAATTATCCACTAGATGGATTAGTTCAATAAATCTCCACCAGATGGATTGGTTCAATAATTCTCCACCTGATGGATTAGTTCAATAATTCTCCACCAGATGGATTAGTTCAATAATTCTCCACCAGACGGATTAGTTCAATAATTCTCCACCAGATGGATTAAATCAATGATTCTCCACCAGATGGATTAGTTCAATAAATCTCCACCAGATGGATTGGTTCAATAAATCTCCAGCAGATGGATTAGTTCAATAAATCTCCACAAGGTGTAAAAGTTGTTACAAGTGGCTGGTCTTGTCCTGAGTTCCTGATAAACAAATTATATGCTAGAATAAAATAGTTGAATATTTCAAACATTCTTTAAAAATTTATTAATTTGAGCAAAATATCTTTTCCGATTTGTGACTAATAAAATATTAAAACAACATTGCCTATTGTTCCAACTTTTTCAATTTGAAATAAAATATTGTTAATGTAATCAAAAGTATTCTTACCAATCATTCTTTTACAGTAAATAGGGGTTCAAAAATCAATTTCTTGGCCCATAATGCAGTTTCATATTTCATATAATAAAACTAAAAAATATATCCATTTGCGTAGCTCAGTAATACCGAGTATTTAGTTTTTATAAAGAACTCTGGAGACACACAACCACAAGTTTCAATGAAGCACAAAGTGCTTTTGTATCAAATATCCGATCTTGTGGGCGCCATTTTGAATAATTTTCATTTCCAACAAAAGATGTCTCTGCTGTCATTTAATTGCAATGTTGATCAATATGGTGTCTCTTGTTCAGTTCCTCTGAATTGACAGCAATAGCATATATCCCTGTGTGAGTTTGTGAGAATTGTGGAACCGGAACCTGCATCCGGAACTATCCTTAGCATACCTTTGCATTCCTTCCGGAACAATGTTCCAAAACTAGGAAAGTAAAAAATCTACAATCATTCAAATACAATCAAACAAAATGTTGATAAAAAAGCTCCAATAGCATTGGGTTGCAAATACTTGGATATATGTTTACCTGGTAGCAGGGTATCAAACCAGGTACAGTCCCTTTAAAGGATATATGTTTACCTGGGAGCAGGGTATCAAACCAGACTGGGAAAATAAAGGAGTGGTACCCACAGTCCTTTATCTAAACACATTCAATTCAAACAAGAATATTGTTAAAGGGACTGTAAGCGTAATTTCAAGTGACCCTCCATGCAATGATGGCATTGTCTGATTCCCAAAGGCACCCTTAAAAGCGAATCAAGTATGAATTGGATATCAAAGTTTATAATTTTGAAAATGATTATTTTTTATTGTGGTTTCTCTACCAAAGTTATCAGAACTGAAAACTCCATTATTATTGATTAGAAAAAGGTTTCCAGGGTACCGTTGTGAATCGGGCATTGCTATCTTTTCATGGAGGGTCACTTACAATTTACGCTTTCAGTCCCTTTAACTTTCAATAGAAATTATAAGCGATTCATAATATTTTCTCCATTATAGAGTAGAAATTTAGGAAAGGAAGAGATAAATAATATGTTCCCTATGATAAAGTAGAAAAGAAAGCGATTTATAATATGTTCCCCATGATAAAGTAGAAAAGGAAGCGATTAATAGTGTGTTCCCCATGATAAAGAAGCGATTAATAATATGTTCCCTATGATAAAGTAGAAAAGGAAGCGATTAATAGTATGTTCCCCATGATAAAGTAGAAAAGGAAGCGATTAATAATATGTTCCCCATGATAAAGTAGAAAAGGAAGACGATCTGAAGTAAATCTACGTGTGTTTCATTGACGAAAGAGAAAGAAAGGTCGTCGTCTCAATATTAGAATATTATGTGATATCACAATGCAAGTTTGTTGTAACTCTCTTCAAATAATATTGTTGATCCATAAATTATTTGTCTTTCGTATTCACTTTATTTTAGGAATCTCTGTGTTCCAATATTTTTAGGAGATATTTCACTTTATTTAGGAGACCACTGTATTTCACTTTATTTAGGAGATTACTGTATTTCACTTTATTTAGGAGACCACTGTATTTCACTTTATTTAGGAGTTTACTGTATTTCACTTTATTTAGGAGACCACTGTATTACCTTTCCATAGTTAATCATCTCATACATGTCTATGATAAGTCGAGGGGTGTGAAGCACAATAAAAGAGCTCACAACGCTGAAAAAACACTAATTCATTTTTTGTGAATTTAAAAAAAGGAAATTACATGGTTTTTCAAAAAAAGTTGAATTATCCCTTTAAAAATGTACCTGAGAAGAACAAAATACAAATTCTTCTCCTTCTTCAAATTCTGCTGACATCCAAACCTAACATTTTTTTATTTAAAATTTTTTTCTTGTTATTTTTATTTATGTTGTGTAACTAGTATGAGTTGATATAGCTCGGAATAAGGATAGTTACATTCATGTAACACCTTCTGTTCTAATACGGACCCAGAGCTAAGTTCAGATTGGATAGTTACATTGATGTAACCCCTTCAGTCCTCATACGGACACGGAGCTAAGTTCAGATTGAAAGTATTCCGGCCTATAAGCATGGCAGTTTATTAGCTCTTTGTATATAGCTATAGGTCGGTCAGAAAGTAGGACGGATAATAACCGCCTCTTGTATAGTGTATTCAGATATTTTATCATTTAAAAGATGCCATCCTAGGGAATATGTGATTCAAACACGCGGAAAATCCAAGCAACCGTTGACTCCGAGTTCTATTTAAACTCAGGCCATTAGGCTTGATCTACAGGGCATGAGGAATAAGATTTGCCAGGCTAGAGTCGAAATTGAGTTAGTCGTTTATGAAGAGTTGAAGGAGGAAGATTGATTACGCCATATGAGGCGGAAGAAAGGCGGAGAGTCCGTCCGAGTTCTGACTTTATTCCAATTAGTGTAGTATCAAAAATTATCTGTCTTTTTTACGTTGTAAATGCATTTTTTTCCTGTGTTCTGTATACTTATTCATGTCAGTTCAGGTTTTGATATTCCTGTGTTCTGTATACTTATTCATGTCAGTTCAGGTTTTAATATTCCTGTGTTCTGTAGACTTATTCATGTTAGTTCAAGTTTTAATATTCCTGTGTTCTGTAGACTTATTCATGTTAGTTCAGGTTTTAATATTCCTGTGTTCTGTAGACTTATTCATGTCCGTTCAGGTTTTAATATTAGACTTATTCATGTCCGTTCAGGTTTTAATATTCCTGTGTTCTGTAGACTTATTCATGTCAGTTCAGGTTTTAATATTCCTGTGTTCTGTAGACTTATTCATGTCAGTTCAGGTTTTAATATTCCTGTGTTCTGTAGACTTAATCATGTTAGTTCAGGTTTTAATATTCCTGTGTTCTGTAGACTTATTCATGTCAGTTCAGGTTTTAATATTCCTGTGTTCTGTAGACTTATTCATGTTAGTTCAGGTTTTAATATTCCTGTGTTCTGTAGACTTATTCATGTTAGTTCAGGTTTTAATATTCCTGTGTTCTGTAGACTTATTCACGCCAGTTCAGGTTTTGATATTCCTGTGTTCTGTAGACTTATTCATGTCAGTTCAGGTTTAAATATTCCTGTGTTCTGTAGACTTATTCATGTCCGTTCAGGTTTAAATATTCCTTCAATTTTAAATTGTGACAGCTGTTTTCCTACCTCTGTACAGTAACTCGTCTCAGATCAATTATTATCCTAAAAAAACAAATGATGAATAAAACGATGCATGAAACGTGCTGGGTCGACTACACTGGGTGGTCCAGACTGGACTGTACGACTGAATGCATGTACAGTTCATAATTTACCGGCTCCGATCATGCAATTTAGAGTCGGGTGGGACAAAAAACCCACAAATGCGCAGTTTTTAAATGAACATCTCTATTTCGATGAAATTTTATTTTATTCTAATCCTTTTGAAAGAAGGGATAAGTAATAATTAGTTTTTGAGAAAAAATTCGTACATTTCTTTGCTTTTAAAATACAGTTGCTTCTTTCTGGAAAATGTACCTAAAGTTAAGTGAATGTACCTGAATTTGAGTAAAAGTTATTTAATTTGAGTACCAAAAGTTGAGAGAAAGTACCTAAATCTAATAAATGTACCTAAATATGAGCAAAAGTACCTACACTTGAGTAAAAGTACCTGCACTTGAGTATAAGTACCTGAAATTAAGTAAGAATACCTGCAATTGAGTAGAAGTACCTGAATTTAAGTAAAAGTACCTGAATATAAGTAAAAGTACCTAAATTTGAGTAAAGGTACCTGAATTTTAGTAAAAGTACTTGAATTTGAGTAAAAATACCCGAAATCAATAAAAATTCCTGAATTTGAGAAAAAATACTCGAAATTAAGTAAAAGTACCCGAAATTATGTAAAAGTACCTGAATTTGAGTAACATTACCTGAATTTGACCAAAAAAATCTGAATTTGAGTATAAGTACCTGAATTTGAGTAAAATATCCGAAATTAAGTAAGATTACATGAATTTGAGTAAAATATCCGAAATTAAGTAAGATTACATGAATTTGAGTAAAAAATCCGAAATTAAGTAAGATTACATGAATTTGAGTAAAAACAACCAAAATTAANAGTATCATTGTCACGTGATACTGACGCAAATCACGTGACCAGTATACTGCACTGCCATTGGCTGAAGCCCTGGTAACGTAAAGCGGACTATAAGGACTATATATATTTTGGCTTTAACAAGAACTGATTTCGAGAGACCCTCTGCACTTAAAAGATGGCAGTGCCCGGTTAACAATGTACGCTTAAAAGCTTTGTCCGATCAAGTATAAATCAGATATCCATATTTTTGTTTATTTAAATTATTATTTTCTTTTGTGTTTTCACTAGAATTGCGCATTTCTTGCTAATAAGAATAAATATAGAAATTGGTCTAAATTGATTTAAACTGACTTAATGCAATTTAGATCGGATTAACTATGTTTAAATAGGCATGATCAGAGATGGGAACTTTTGAATGGGATATCCTTTTATCCTGATCGGATAATTAATTTGGAGATTAAAAATGAGTGGACAACAAGCAATATTTAATCTGCATATTAAGAAAAAGAGTGGATTAAGCCTTAATCCCGATACCCACCATTCTAAAGTTTTCAGCTCTGGTTAAAACTTGCTGAATATGGAGTTTTTTTTGCTTTATTTGTTTAAATTGGGTTAATCATGGTTCGATTTTGCTTAATCTATTTTAAATCAACTTAATCTGGTTTGAACTGGCTTAATCTGGTTTCCTGTGCTTGTGTATCACCACTACGTACTCAAAAGTTATAGTCTTAGTTGCCTCGTCTTAAAAAAAATATTATGATCAAAATCAATATTTTTACTTTTTAAAATTTTCTTTTTTAAGCTTCTTACCTGTACTGTTCTCTAGTGTTAAAGATGTCTCAAAAAACCTGCGTTTTTACAGAATTTGGTTTTTATATCAATTTATAACATTTGGAAGTTTAAAAAGAAAAAATTAATGCTATCAAATCGGAAATTCTTTGCTATAAATTTAAAATAGATCATTCATTTTAAAGAAAGCATCATTGTAGTTTTAATAAGAGATGTTTTTTAATTATAAAACCTTCCTTGGCATGCTGGTACCCAACGCCATTATGGAAACCGGTAAAACATAGTGCCATGGCTTTCTACAAACCAAACCAAATCTTTTGTCAATCAATCAATCGTTCAATCAAATCAGAATTAAGTACTTCAATGTTCAAAACATGAATTTCTTTAACTAAATTACTTTAAAACTACTTAAAGGGACTGTAGGAATAATTTCAGGTAACCCTTCATAAGAAAGATGGCGATGCCCGATTCACAATGATATCATTGTAAAAAGCTTTTTCAGAAAAAGTATAAATATAGTTATCCATGTTTTTGATTCTTTTGACTGTTTATTCACAATTGCGAATTCTCTGCAAAAGTGGATTTCACCCTGCTTAAAAAAAGCAGAAGAGAAATTTACAGAAACACTTTTCGTATATCTTACACATTTTTGATCAGATTAAGGTTTCAAGGTACCGTAGTAAATCGGGCAGTATCATCCTTGCATGAAGGGTCACTCGGCATTACGCTTACAGTCTCTTTAAAATCACTCTTTAATATGTTTTTCAGATTATAAAGAATTGTTGGTTTCCTTCGGTAAGCTGGGAAGTCCATTGGATGGCAGATACCTAAAAATATGTTTCATTCACAAAAAAGATGAAGAATGACTGCTGACGGTAATATTACATCGTCTATACGCAACATCCCCCCTACTGAACTTCCGACCTACTGCAATATTGGACCTACGCCAGCTGTTTATTTTTGTATTATTTGAGGGTTTGGTTAAATTAAGACAATTTTTGGGCACGAGTGCTGCGGCAAGGATAGGTTAGGGGCCAAGCGATGCGGCTAGGAAAGACTAGGGGGCAGAGCGCTGAGACCACAAGTCCTTCTAGCAGCTGTTAAACCACGTGCTAGAAGGTCGGATTTGGCGTAGGTCAGAATTGGAGTATAGCGGATTTGCGTAGGTCAAAAGATACACCATCCTGCTGACAGGTCGTTCTCTTAAAATCGTTGATAAAATATGGTTCGATAAATTTAATGTAAATCAGATAGATAGACTGACGTAACTGGAATTAGGTTAGCGTCAAATATTGTTTTGATAGAAATATAAAACATTGAGCTATTGAGCAATAGCTACAGTGTGTCCCACGAAACATGACAGTAGCAAGACGAATTGAAGTCGTCTTTGATATTTAAAATAATTTGCGGCATTTATTCATAACCCTAAGTTAAAAATCAGAAAACAACTTGGCATTTTCAAAATGTGGTTTGCCTTTTTGTACTTGTACTTCGGAAATTTCGATTTAATTTAATTAAAGTGAAAAATAAAAAAATGCTTGTGTATTGTTAATCTTAAACACTTGATGTCCAATGTGGACCGTTTCAGATTTGAGGTCAATTATTGATCCCTCAATTAAACTTATGACGGAATATCGCAGAGATTAATGTGCTATAACGGCTATTCAGGTAAATATATAATTGTGAAAAATATTTAATCATGAAAAAATGTGCCAGTTGAGAATTGAGCAGAGTAGGAAAATAGTATCTTTGGAAAATGAAAAAGATGAATGGATGAATAGGTGAATGAATAAGTAAAATTATGAATGAATGGATGAATAGGTGATTGAATGAGTATAATCATGAATGAATGGGTGAATAGGTGATTGAATGAGTATAATTATGAATGAATGGGTGAATGGGTGATTGAATGAGTATAATTATGAATGAATGGCTGAATAGGTGATTAGGTGAGTATAATTATGAATGAATGAATATATGAATGACTAACCGAATGAATAGATAAATAGGCGAATGACAAGATGAAAGGATGAATAAATGGATGAATGGATGGATGTAAGGTTAGGAAAATATTATTCTTGAGGTTCAAATGAAACCATTATTTTTCTGAGAATCCTAATAAATAACAATGACTGAGCTAAATCTCAAGTTTCAAGGGTTAATCTGGATCCCACATCATCCATATTAATCTACCTAACGCGTAGTTCTCAGTGTTTTAAAATAGAAATGCGTAGTAATTAATCTTTATTTTTCTATGTCTATTACGTAATTGATTATATGACAACATTGGTGCAGGTGAGAGGGGGGAATGATTGTCTCTGCTTTTTACAGCTGACAAAACGATATTTCTAGTTTATCCACAGCTGGAAACTTTAGAATGGTGGATATCAAGATTAATGCTTAAACTCCTGGTTTTACTAAACCCAAGATTATTCTAAAACGCATTCGATATCCAAGAAAGAAGTTAAAAATCTAACCAATCAGCGTGTCATGTTAAGATGTACTCTTCAACTTTTGAAAAAACACGGTTTTGATTTCTGGTGTTGATGGTGTCATATGAATTGAACTAAACATCGATTAAACGAACATAAGTTTTGGATTAATTAATGTTTATTAAGACTATAAATGTTCAAAATGTGATAAAATATGTTTTTTAATAATTTCATATTAACATGATTAAATTTATATTTGTTTAAATGCTCTAAAAGCCGGCTTGCGAACAGCTGACTTTAATTTAATCGTATATTAGTTCAATCGATATAGCATTATATCTGTAATGCTTATCAAACGTAACTTTTATACAATAGAAATATCCAAAAAGAGGATTAAGAAGAAAATCGAAAGTGTGTACGTTGGATAATCGGATTAAGCGAACGTGATTAAGGATATCTCATTCTAAAGTTTTCAGCTCAGCGAGTATCTGACCTTACTATGAAAGTGCTGATCAATTTTTAAATTAAAAAACGACAATATCTCCCTCAATGAAAAAGGGGTTAAAGGGTGCAGCTGTAAATTAGGCATTTAAATGCAGGGTTTCTTGAAGCTATTTTAAAGGGACTTTACGCGAAATTACGTTTACAGTCTCTACAATTTAAACAAATGTATACCTAGATATCGCTCCACGGTGATCGCTAGAGTAGAAAATATGGTTCCGGCCATTCCGATCTCCCTGCAAGCAAATATAAAAATTCAATTTTTTTCTCAATTTTTTGGGGTGGGGGCCTTTATAACATCTCATTTCAAAGCTTGGAACTCTTGCAGTGTGGATAATGCCAAAACCAATCCAGCATTGATAATTGTATCAACAAAATTGTGCACGTGCATTTATACAATTTGGGTATTTTGACAAAGCAGAAATCATAATTGCAAATTTATTTTCATTTAATATGAAAATATTATTGAAAAGATATCCTATATTTTTTTTAGAAAATCAGAGAAACAACTTAAGTTTAAAGCACAGTGCTAGAAAATATACTTCTTATTTGACATGAAATCACGATGATTAGTTTATAGCATTGCTCTCATGAAATTGAGCATGAAGTGAACTTAAAGATTAAGTACACAAAAATGTTATAAAAACTGACCTGTTCGCTTGATATAAAATTTACTTACGTGAATGGATGGGAAAGATATGGAAAAGTAACGGTTAAAAATACGTTTTCCAAATTGTGTAACCTGAAAAAAAACCTAATTTAAAAATATTTTTTTTTGATTTTTACAAAAAAAACTCAGCTAAATAAATAAATGATTAATGTATGATTTTGAACAGATGTGGTCGGTCTTTATTTCAATTCAACGAAGACGACTTTTAGAGTTAAGTTTTGATTTCTAACAAGATTTTTTAAAATTTACAAGTTATAGTTTATATCCATGCTGTTTGAAATCTTGGTAGAAATCAAAATTTAAATCGAAAGTCGTCTTCATTGTATTGATATTAAACGGAGAAGACTGAATGAAAAGCGAAACTTTAAATTTT